ATAACCATTAATATGTACATCTCGGTAGGTGATCAGACTCTAAGGTGCTGAGGGTGCAAACATCGCATGTTTACATTTTATGATGGAACCCACAAGTAATTTTACCATCGTTGTGTCCTCTTGGAAACAAAATGCATTTGCTCCAGCCATGGTCATCATATTTTTAGTTTACCAAGTTGAAGATTTTTCAATAAAAAATTGTCTATCTTGCAAGATAGTATGTGTTGTTGCAGAATCAATGAGCGCATCATTTGATTCATCATTAGAGGTTCTATCATTCATATAAGCCTCTAAGTCATCAACACCAATTGAATCCATGGACGCATCCATGGTATGAACTTCACGAGCCTCAACTCGTAATTTCTTATTTTCTTGGAACATTTTAATAAAATATTCTGAAATACGGCACGCATGTGCTAAATGTCCAATCATTCCATACTTATGGCAAGAACGCATCTCTGATTTTTTGTTTTCTACTATAATTAATAGTAGAACGTTTATTCTTTCCATATGGGTAGAAATGGTCTTGACTATGACTACCCTAATACTTATGAGCATGTTTCCTATGTTTGAATAATTTCTTGTTAGACTTTGAAATATTAAGTGCATGAGATTCTGGAACTGTAGTTTCAATAGGACGAGCTTCCGCATTACACAAGAGTAGTTCATTTTGCTTCTCCACAAGAAGTAGATAGGACACGAGATCAGAATGACTCTGAAATTTCATGTTCCTATATTGTTGTATAAGCACTACAGATACAGGAGGAAATGTAGAGAGAGTTTTCTCAATCATTTCTTCTTCAAAAATGCTTTGTCCACATAATCGTAATTGTGAGACAATACTATACATTTTACTATTGAAAGCATTTAAATTTGGAAAATCTGAGACACTTAAATGTGTCCAATTATGATGTGCACATGGAAGAAAAATGGTCTTTTGATGATCAAACTTAGATTTAAGATTCTTCCAAAGTTTTGCAGGATCTTCCATTTCTAAATATTGATGTTGTAATGTAGGTATAAGATGACGACAAAGGAGAAGAAGTGCTTTCCAATGAATAGCAAGAGGTATAAAAATACTTATTGTAGGAGATTCTTCAAACATAATGGCATCCGAGAGTTGTTTTGCAAATAAATTTAGTTTTGCCATTTTTGCCCATAATAGATAGTTGTTTCCATCCACAATGAATGGTGGAAATAAAAGAGCTTGAAAATATTAGGATGCACTGATAATAGTTGGAACCATAGTAGAAGCAGTTGAAGATATTGAAGCACTCATTATAAATAAATCTGTAAAGAAAATAATAGATTAAGTAGAAAAGTTGAATAAAACGTACCTTAAAATATAAAGTAAAATAAAATGATAAACTTGAACTTGAAAAAATAAAATATATATATATATATATATATATATAAAAGAGGTTGTAGATTAAGGCATCAAAATAACAATAAGATGGCTATAGCGGGCAGTGGTAGGGCGGCAGCAGTAGGGCGGCAAGGTGGCAATGGTAGGTGGCAGTGGCGGTAGTGGCAGGTTCGGTGGGGTTCGGTGGCAACTTGGCGGCTGTTCGGCAGTAGGCGCAGGGCATAGGGAGCAAGTTGAGATGAAGTTGGGCTGAAACAAGTATTCTAAGCAAGCAGGGCAGAGAGTGGAACAAGTGCTCTAAGCAAGCAACTAATGTGTGAGGGGCCAGCAAGAAGAACAAAATCATGAGGTAGACACTGAACAAGGGTAGTAACAAGTTTGAAGAGTCAAAGTCTAGAGCAAAAAAATTGTGATAGTGTGTAGAAGAGAGTCGTGTTGATAACATGTTGAGAATGTTTAGAAAGACACAAGAGTAATAGTAAGTCATACACAGAAGAGGGTTTCTAAGGAAAGAGAGCTTCATACATAAAAATCTGTTCATCTGGTTGTGTCTCGTATACAAGAAGAGAAAAGAGGAGAGGATAAATAATACTTCTCCACTAGACTCTATATATTATAGCTATGGTATTTACTGTAGTCTATAGTAAATATTGTGGAGAGCACTGGCTACATTTAATGATCTCAACAATGAGAAATGCACTTGGAGCTTTGATAGTCCCTGCCATGCTCTGGTCCCAGAGACAGAGAAAGAGTTGATGGGCGCGGCAGAAGCCGGGTAGTGCTGCTGCAAAACTCATACTCATCACGAATCAGTAGCCAGCAGTAGACGACGACGATGAAAACGAAGGAGAAGCCCCCACAATCGCCATTATTCGGGGACCAATGCATTCAGCATGCTGGAAAGGGAGACCTGTCAATTTCTCTACGAGAGCATGCCACCTGGGTTCAAGGCTTTGTGTTGGGGGACGTACAGAATATATTGTAACACTAGTCGGTCATGATCGGGTAGGGAACTCAACATCGTTGGAAGAAGAAGAAGAAAGATCCCCTGCAAAAAAAACCCTAAAATCTATGGAAGAAACTGTCTTCCCGGGAATGTTGATGTTGTGGGCAGTTGGAGACAACGAGAACCGTAGAACTTATGGTGTGTCTGTGTACGTATATGTGTTATCTGAATCAACCATTTGTCTCGTTCTGACTACCAAGACTACCATTGCTGTAAAGGAAATGAAAAACATGGGATCATTAATCAGGCTCCGATGGCACTCACTGTTCTGGGTACTTCATTCCGGCCGATGAATCAGCCAACTTCTTTTCAGCCGAAAATGACCAGTGCCAGTTTGTCTCTCACAACTGACGGACCTACCGCCTGATACCCTCCCAAATGGAGGAGGAGGACATCAGGGTATTTGAAGTATTTCAAGAAAAAGAACAAAACTCCTAAGAAACAGAATGCAGAAGAGAAGTAAAGAGGCTGGCAACCAGAGGAGACTCCTTAAAGGAAGACCGCTTCAGAGTACCCCCTCTCTCCGACGATGGAGGTGTCTGCGAGGGCTGTATGCATTCGAGGGCTTTGGATTTAATTGTCAGTGGATCATTGTTGATTCACTCTGCATGGAAGAATCCTGGTGAGAGAGATATATATGGCTCTTCAACATGTAATTCAAAACCACCCCTTGTCCGTGACAGAGTCGATGAACAGTTACCCCCGTGGAATCCGCGCCGAAAACAACCAGTGCCTCCAAATATGGTTCCATCCGTGTCATCAATCAACAAAAAGCCTTTTTATAGGGTTCCATATGAGGACACGATTGAGTTGGTTGGGCTCTTCACCTTCGGCCTCATAGGAAGGCCGTTTCTCTCTCAACCTTACACGGGCCTTGTCCGCCAAAAACCCGCTTTCTAAGTTGCTTCGGTGTCCTTTTCCCCGTTTTTTATATAGTGCAATGCAAGTGGGCATACAGGCTTTCTCCAAAAGATTCCTCCTCCGATATCCGCGTTGTGGCAAATTCGACTCTTCGGACTGGCAGTTCGGAGATACAGAGCACCACATTTGACAATGTTATAGAACACGGCAGCATGTCGTAGCCGGCGTACATCCCATGCTTAGTTTATCCACCACTACAGAGAAACAACCGATGGATCAAAACTTTGAAAGGGACGATAGAAATAGAGGAATGGCACATTTAGATCAACTTACGAAGCAGGTTTATCTTATCATCACTCATGTTCACAAGCTCCCTCTTCGCAGTCAACTAAGATTACGGTTGTTTCATACTGCTGACAAGTATGAAACCAGGTTTAGGGCTTGTGAACGTACAAGTACGTGCAATACATGACACTGCAGTATCTTCATACACATATGGGCGTCGCGTCTTGCAACTTTTGAAACTTTTACACACGAGTACTTTGACGGAGGTGACAGCGTTTCGCTGAGCGAGAGTGTTAAAGACACATTGACGAAAAATCCAAAGACGGGAGAAGCGTTACGACAAAAGAGGCAGTGGGGTGGAAGAGGATTCAACTATGAGCGGTTGACTCCAAGGTAACGAACAGGAAGTGCCTACAACTGGTCGTAAGTATACTGGCAAGGAAAACTCTGCGCAGAATTTAACTTTAGGGAGTAACTGACCAAATTTTCACACTGTTCATGACATAGTGCATGTAAATAATCTGGGGGTTGAATTAAGAATCACGCATCTGACAGGGCAAAGTGTCCAGATTGCACTCATGATAGAACCAAGGCACATCAGGCATGCAGAAGTGTTTCATTTGGATCCATTCAAGTATGCACAGAAGCAAGAAAACAATATTAACCCTCATCCCTTCTTGTTACTCCGCTATCCACTTGGGAGATTCCTGGAAAAAAACACTTCTTCCGAATGTGACCTGGGATCCTGAAGTCGATAAGTTCATTCCGTCCACTTTTCAGCACAATATTCAGATCTGATCCCCTTGATGAGTGTTGTACAATGATGGCAAAACTGAAAGTTCCAAGCACAGGAGTTGCTACAATGAATTCCGTTATTAAGTGGGTAGTACACACCATCACCTTGAAGTGTTGGAGCACGATGGACCATTCAGTGCGAGCTGTCTGGTTCGTAAGAATGGTGATGCCCTTTCTGGAGTCTTTGAGATTGACTCACACGACTTTGACCATCGATCGTCTCAATAACCACGCCGCCATCTCTAGGAGTCAGGCTTCTGACATCTTTTTTCTTTTCAGTTCCAAAAGAATCCCACTTGTCTGCAGCTACGCGTGTGGGAAACCTTGCCGGCAGTCGAAAACAACTCAACTAGTCAAAACTTTGCAGTTTTGCAGAAGACAAGCTGCATCGATCCCAATTCCACACTCAAATAGACGATTTTCATATGGGGTCGGAGGAACCACGTCATGTGTCCAACAGCTAGCAGAGGGCCTTGAACAGCTCAACGTAAATAACTGTTCACTTGCTATGTAATATAAGGCCACCAAAAGTTATCTGTAACATTTAAGGGCTTGATACAAATCACAAACACGGGGAGTAACAAATTTCCCAATGGCTGATATTGGCCAAGTTGTGCCACTTCCTGCCTTCCAATAAAGAACACAATTAACTCATCGACGTCATTCAAGAAAGAGATACTCCAAATGTTTACAAGCCTATAGAGAATGTATTATAGAAGCCCTGATACCTCAGAAGCACCCAACCAGTTAATTGCAGTCTCCGAAGTGAAGGTACAGGAGTCACAATACAAAGGTGCAGGAGAAAGTGGACAACTCTGCATTCCTGTCAACTTGATGTTGAACTCTGTCCATGATAAGACTGTGTAATTCAACATGATTGTACAATGAATTTAAATTCTACCAAAAACTTTACAAATCGTGTTCTCTATTTTCTATTTCTCAACCCGACTTCACTAGACTTCGCAAAGTATATACACTGGTGGCGAGTCCTGCAGTTCAAGTAAACCACAATGAACACACTAGGAAAACGAGATTCACACGGAACAAAAAGACTGGAATAAATAACACACACATGATATGCTAATATTTCATGTGTCGAAGATGTGCAAAGAACTGGAGAACCAACCTCAATGAGAGAAGCACCTGCAAGCAGACTGGAGTTGGAATCACTCTCTCACAACGCATAAAAGGTGCTTAAAAGTCGAAGTGAAGCAGGCAATATAATCCATCAATGATTGATATGACGGTACATCTTTCTTAGTCCCATGGATTTTAACTTCTTGACCATTAGCATATTAAAAAAATTATCAGTAGTAGCTGCCAAACACCACCAGTATGTTCAATAATCTCCAACAATAAAATGCACTTTAGTGTAGGTTTGTATGGTAGTGGAAAAATAGCTTCATCTTGCATGAGCGGCTGGTGCTGTTGGTGTTGTGCCTTAAGGTTATCAGTGTGTGCAAAGTAGGAGATCCTTCCAGTTCACTAAAAGACACAACCATCAAGCGTCAGCTTTGTCATCCATCATATATTAGAACAACTTCTAATTAATTTTTTTCTGAAATTATCCTTCCTTACATCACCCATGTTTGGGACATTTAGTTTGTGTACCAGTGAATGGAAGAGGTCTGCAGTGTGTACCTGAAGGAAAAATTCTGTGCTAAGGTCTTCAATTAAAATGCATAAAAGCTCCACGTTTTGATCAGTTGAGAACAACCCGTGCCCAGTGTTAGAGAAACACTATGGGATGTGCTACTGAAAATCACAATCGAGCACAAAATGAGGGACATCATGCATGCAATACGACCTAAAGTCGGGTATGAACACCAGAAATAAGATCGAGGACCCTAAAAGCAGTGTAACCCCATAACCCAAGAGTTTATGACTTTTAAGCACAATGAATATATATGCTCGTAGCAAGATAATATAAACCACTTGCTTCACCTACACATCTTTCCGACAACTTCGGCTGCGAAACCTACCACCACAGTTTGCAGAGATGAGCCAGAGATGAGCACCTCCTAAGTAAAACTCTAACGCTCAATCCTCGTGAATCTGACCACAAGATACATCCAAATCTAAGACCTCGTCTAGGTGAAGTCCAGAAATCACCACATATGATCATTTCATACACCAACTCCAGGAAGAGCGTCATTCCCTTCTCATACAAAACGAAATAAACCAACACAAAAACACAAACTACAACACATCATAATCCAGTAGCAGTCGTTGGTTTTAGCAGATCCTTTGTGCGCATGTAAAATAGTAAAGAACCAAATTCACAATGCACTAACAAACACCACAGATACAATGCAGATCCTCTCGAGCAAAACACACAAACACAAACTGCGAGAATGTCTGTGAACCGCGTCTAAAGAGGTTCTAAGTAGAGGTACCCAAAAACAACAACAGCAACATCACCAGCAACAACAACAACAACTACTACTACTACAACTCTGTTGCTATTGAAAGACCAATTTGTCAAGCTCCGACGAGCAACATTTCGCAGTTTCGAGATACAGCTTTGACGGCCTTAGCACTGTTTTGACGGCGCTTTGTCTTGCAAAGGTTTATGATAAGTTTAGATTTTGGTTACATTAAACTTAATTAGGTTAATTTTCAATCATACATAAAAATTAAGTCTTTACAGATTATTGACTTGTAATATGTGTTGGGTCTTTAACTACTTTATGTCAAATACAAAATATTTACTTGCTCCAGCATTATCATATGTAAAATATATCAAACAGACTATAACCAATCTATTTGAGTGGATGGATGTTGATTTCCGGTTATAAAATTTGTAATTTATTAAGCACTTGCACTTGATACTAACACATAAATTGAATTGTTTTTTTTTTTTTTTTTTTTTTTTTTTTTTGTAAAAACACATTAATTTTTATTCAAAAGAACAAATTATTTTAATCTTGGTAGTAATTTTATTTTTGAAACGTTTTTTTGATTATATATCAGACGAATGCTATTGTGATATAATCAAATTAGGCTCATTTAGTGAGAAACAGAAATAAAACAACGCAAAGAAAACATTTATGAAACAAAAATAAAATGCCACTACCTTAAATAACTCTAAAATTGTTACAAAATTCAATCAAAAAATAAAAATAATATGAAGTTAAATAATTAAGGTGCTTCTAATTTTTAAAATTAAAATGGAACATCAAATAGATAATTTGTGTGGTTAAATATAATTTTAGAATTAATCTTATAAAATAAGAAATATTGGTAGAAATCGGTATAAAATCAAAAAGTGTGAAAGGCATGAAAAAAAATCGATGTATAAATAAATCATAAGTCAATTAAATATATATATATATATATATATGAATGAGCCAAAATTATAAATAAAAATGCATTGGTCATGTAAGATTTGTTTCAATCTATTCTAATTTGTATGCAGCTTGGTCTATGAATACAATGTGAACATTATTGTTTTAAGTATAACTCATTATCAAAGTTATATATATATATATATATATATATATATATTTCCATAAAAATATGATTAAATATAATTATAAATTTATAAAGTTTCCATTAAGATAAACTAAATCTTTAAACTTATTAATAATATCAGTTGTTTTTGTTGAGTTGTATTAGTTTGTGCTTGTTTGAATTTTTTAATATCTTCAACTTACTAATCTAGAGCCTCAGTTTGTTTTGATGTATGTACATGTACATAAAATATTTAAGTAAAAGTTTTTTCTTTTTTCTTTTTCTTATTTTTCTTTTTTCTTTTTCTTATTTTTCTTTTTTAACTTGAGTTATACTAGACATTCTTAAAGTAAAATAGTAATAAATTGAATTCATACAGATTGTGGAAGAATATTCTCCGTGCAAGATGGAAAACTCCCCCCCAAGTGGTTAACACCCTTGGTGTGCCAAATAATAATAATAATAATAATCATAAAAATCATAGTACAAAAAAATAAAATAAAATCTATAGGTACTTTTTTTCTTTTTCTTTTTGTCTTCATGATGGTTAGGATGGGTGGGTTGATTTTGTAAAAACTTGGTCTATTTAACATTCTAGTTAACATTCTCCAAAACACATCTCCTCTTTCCTAACAAGTAAATTAACACAGTAACAACTAATCCTTCCAAAAAGTTAATGAAGAACGAGGAACTGAACTTTGTCATGGGACCAGAGCTTGTATCAATTCTAGTCAAGCATATTATTTCCTCGGACACGAGTAGGCTTTTGGTTCTCAACGCCGCTGCTGATGTTGCTGCGAAGTCTCTACCTCCGCTTCGAACTAAGAAAAGGCAGCGAGCAGTGTTCAAACCCCCAAACCCTAATTAAGCACACACAATCAAACACAAGCACACGGACCTCGACACAACGTGCACAAGGCTCGATGGCAGGAAAGCCGCAGCAGGGGAGAGATCGAAGAGCACGGGACTCTAGCTAGCTCTCGGGGCCTCAGATCACGATGCCCAACTTCGAAGAGCTTCGAATTTTTAGCTTAATCGAAGGCTCTACTCTCTTCATGCAAACCTCGCTTCCTCACGTAATTGAGAGGTTGTAGCAGGTTGTTTGTCTGTGTCCGCTTCGGTAGGCACAATGATGTCGCACCGCGTTTAATTTACTGGTCTAGCTTGAGTTGTGGTGGTGATGGTGGAGTGGGAGAAGGCTATGGTGATGGATCGGTGGTGAGGAGACGGGCGGGCGGGCGGGCTGGCGGGAGAGAGAGAGGGAGAGGAGAGGAGTAGCACCATGAGAGGCGGGAGGTTTCAAGCGAAGAGCAATGAGGATATGAACATGCGCAATGCGGAGACATTGTTCGAGGCGAAGACGGTTGTAAAGAACCGGGAAGTGGAAGTGTACACGCAATATGAGATCGAGGCGAAGAAAGAGGAGCTTCGGCAGTTTGTCGGGGCGAGTTATCGCGATTTGATCGAGTCCGCGGACTCGATCATCCTCATGAAGCAGTCATGTTAGGCGGTGGGGGCCAATGTGGACAAAATGCAGCAGGGTTTCGAGGATTTGAATCGGAGCGTGAGTGTCAGTGTGTCGCCGCCCGCAGCGGATCTTGAGCGCAAGAGGAGAGAGCGGTTGTATGAGGTTGGCTCTAGGGTTAAGTATCTCGTGGATACGGCGGAAAAAATCTGGGGGTGTTTGGATGATCATTTGCACTTGAAGAGCGCGGAACGGTATTTGCGAGTCAAGGAAGTTCACTCACTGTTGACGGAGATCGGAGTCAAAGACGAATTGCTTGGGAGGTTTCCGCTGCTGCGCCAGCAATGGCCCTTGATTGAGAGGTTTAGAGTGCAAATCTCCAAGAGGAGCAAGGACAGATTGCAGGAGCCGGGATTAAGCGTAAGGGATTACGATGTGGCTCTGGCCGGTTGCGGTATTACTGGTGAGCTCAATTGGTCGCAGATCTTCACTCTGTTTCTTGAATCACGCAAGCTGTGGGTGAGGTCGCACCTGCGAGCGTGTGTGCAGGAAAATAATTTTGGAAAAAATGGAGGAGAGGGGAATTCTATGGCGGATGTAGCAGGTTCTATATGTAAGGTTTTGCATATGATTCAGACTTCCCTGTGCCAAGTTGGTTGACGATTGTCTTGAGGCAATGAAACCAGTCGGTCCTGTAGATTACTCTGATGAGAAGCTAGTGCCAAAGGCAGGAGCAAGCGGCAATGTCCTGCAGGAGTTGGATCTCAGTTCTAATGGAAAACTTCAGTTTAAATCTGGAAGTGTAGAGAGTGAGTGGGATGGTGACGCCCGGTTCTTCTTCATACCGGAGGTCACAAATGTGAAAGATAAAGTAGATGAAAGTTTAAATCTGATACTTCGAGACCTATTAAGCTTCTTGCAAGGGTCTCATGTACTGATGAGGACAGATTCACTAGCGCCCTATCTACAGGAGCAGTGCTTTAAGTGGATGGCTGATGTTGTTAAGGTGCTAGAAGCTCGGGTCTTGATGCTTTCGGAGAACATGTCCAAGGCAACTAAGGAAGCTTCAACTCAGACCACAGCAGAGGATCCAAAGCACGCATTGAAATCTAATTCTCAGGGGATACCGGTTAGTAGGGCTGGTTTCGATAGCCATTCATTAAAGTCAGGAAATTTTCCGAGGGTGGTTGAACAAGCTTTGTTTTTGGGGCGATTAACTGCTGCTGTGGGAGAGCATTCTATATCTCTTCCTTTACTTTTAGGGTCCCCCACGTCGTGGACTGCAAACGAAACAGCTCTTCGTCAATCGTCAGTTGAGTGTTCGCCTCATATTTTGCGGCAATCTTTGTGGTCCGAAACAAACTCTAATCTTGAGGGTTCTATAAAATGGTTTTTCAGAAGAAGGAGTGGTAGCTGTCGCAGCGCATAATTCTGATGACGGAGCAACAAAGTTGCGGGAGTTGCAAAGAAGCTTGAGGCAGCAGAGCATTGCTGTCCACCGTATGTGGGTGCGTTGGAGTACTGATTGCTTAGCTAGCACTCTTCTGAGAGATCTGCATCAAGATGAATGCTTGTCTACTCTTACACCACTCAAGGTAAGCCTAATTGTTTTTTTACATTTCTGTGGTATAAACTCGCCTCAGGAATATTTCTGGATTGTTCATTGCTCGTACTGATCTGGAATAAGCGAAGTAGAATTTGAGCTGCATGTGGTGTTAGACTGCCACTTGTTTCCTAGGCCGTGTTTATTGTTTCGAGAATTTGTAGATGAGCTACAGATTTTGTAACGTACAATATCCAAGTCTTTCCACGTCATGATGTCATCTGATTATCTTTTTTCTGTTTCGCTCAAGCGTTGGGAGGAGACTCTAATTAAGACTTGTGGAGAAGATGGTGAAGATATAGAGGCACGCATTTCCGTACCAGCTATGCCGTCACCTTATGTCGTGGCATTTTGTTCGCTGGTCGTCGAGAAATTCATCAGATTGGTGGCCATGTATTAGACAGAGCTGTTTCGGAGATGTTTGTATGGGAACTCCTAGAGAAGGTAAGTTGCTGCTCATCGTTCTCAATTGCTGTAGTTCATTCAGGCTTAAACCTTGCATAACATCTTATATTCAAAACATATAGACAATTATTTCGGTTCGGCCCACAACTGCTGAAATCGTTGCTTACAAGGACGTTTTTGGTTTAATTGGTTCAAAAGCGACGAGTATAGGAAAGGTTGTTGGCAGAATCAGGTTGGTAACTGCATGCTTGGAATTTTACTATTTTAGAGGCGAAGTTTCTGGAAGTGGTGATTACTCCGATTAATCTGTTAATGTTTTGGATTCAGGTCTTATCAATATACGAGAAGTTTATATCTCATCCATCCTTGATGAACTCGCGCGTGTCAGAGAAGGGCGTCCTGCAGCTCCTTTTCGATGTTAAGTTCTTATCGGATGTGCTTTCAGGGGGACAAGAAGTTCATGTCGAAAATATAGATGCAGTAGGAACCGATAATCTTGCTTCTTCCTCCCCGTTAAAGCAAACAACTTTGAAAGCAGCAATCAGCCGAAAAAGGTGGATCCAAAAATTGCTGGATGATTTGCATGGTCATATTGACCCCATTGATTGGGCCACGTAAGTGTTTTATTTGGATTGTTCCAATCCGACCCCCCTCCTCTAGTTTTTTTATTATATATATATATATTGAAAACGTTAGTGTTCCTTTGATAACTCTGGAATAATTGTTTATTTGGAGACTGTCGTGAAATATGATCTGTTAATGTTTCTGGTGATATTCTGTCTTAAGCTCTGAGCCATGTCATTCTGCAGGTATGAATCCTACTTGATGGAGCAGGAGCGGCGGTATTATAAGAGTTGTGCAGTGCTTTTTGGCTCTCTGATCCAGCTGAAACGCGTTCATACCGATGTTGCACTAAAACCTCTATCCACATCAGAAACTAACACCCTCAACATGTCTGCAACAGTTCCACGTTTCACATATCTTCCTATTAGGTCTGTACATGAGACACATTGTCATGTACGACGACAAATTTCTAGATGTTTGTGAAAGAATCAGCATCTTTGAAGGTGTTGCGTGAGTGATTTTTGTTCCTTCATAGGCCTTGTTGAAATGTGTTTCTAATAGATTTGTATCAATGGATTTTTGCTTCAGTGCGCCTTTGTTTTCGGTCACGAAATCATCCCCGCTAAGGTCTCGACGAAGTTCATCACAAGAGAACGATTCTCTCTGGAGGGCATCAATGCATAGTGACGACGCATCTATGTTTTCTTATTCTGAGGCAGCATCTCAGAATTCTCAAGGATCTGCAAAGCTGCTGCAGCAACTTATGGGGGTACGTTTGTATGCCGTGTATGTTTTGTACACATATGGTCATCTGCTAATTTATCTCTGAGTTTTTGAATTTATGGTTTCCACGCATTGAAAATCATCACGATGTGATTGAATCTTACACAATAATTGATGAACAATCGTAATAATTTTGGATACTTAGGTTGATGTCACTCTTCAGATATTTTCCCCTGTGAACGTTTCAATTTAAACTTCCAACGTGATGTGCAGGTCGGAACTAAGTTTGGACAGAGCACATTTGGTAAGCTTCTCAGCGACTCTCAAGTCGGTCGGTTTAAAGACAAGTCTGCTGCAGCTATTTCGACATTTGGTAATATGTTCCCAAAACAAGCAGCTGGGCTTTTCTCCTCCCTTGGGAGTGCAATGAAACATGACTCACGGGACACAGTGTATTATTAAGTTTGACACAAAGTGATGCTTTATGAAGACCAACGCCTCTTTTTGACTTCTATCATAGAGGCTCTTCGCACGGTACTATAAAACGTCTATTCATATTTCGCACCTGCAGTCAGAGTGCGTGTGGAGATGTTCTATGTTAGGATTTGTAGGAGTAAACAAATTTTGAGTGTTCACTTCTTAGTATAAAACATATTTGGTCGGGAGAATGCCTTCCCGGAAGGCTCATGCTGTGCATAAGTTTTCGCGTAGAGTTCATCATGGTGCAGGGTAGAATAATAGTGTTTTTTAGCTAAATATAATTCTTTGGTGGCATCCCATTACAGATGAGGCTGATACTCTTCAGGTGTACACTGCCGAGAATGAGTGGAAGAGGTGTATTTCCTCATGTGCCATTTTCTATGTTTCGTGTAATGCTATTTTGTAGTCTGTAAGTTCTAAGGGATTCATTTCTTGCCACGAAGGCTCACATGCGTGAAAGGTCATTGTAAAGCTTAATCGAGGATGATTCTGGATCTGGTTGCTGTAACAGTCATCTTCGTACTCTGCCTCGAACATGTACTGTGCACCAGAATAACTCGGTCTGTTGTGTTATTCATCGGTAAGAGGAACTCATTGGTATCGCCAACAGCATCACCAAGCAACCACGAGATGGGATGTGCGATTGATGTCGACCTTGGTAGCTTTCATTTCAAAATTGTGTGCTGTACAGTGATGGTAGAAAATCGCACCCAAGTCCCTCGTGAACAGTAACATGTGTACCGCAGGGGTCCAAACCAGATTCTGTCGTGTGCTCCTGGATGAAAGCGTCAGAGCCATCGTTCCTCAGGCCATGGGCGTGATCATTGGGGCTTCATACACAGAGCGCTTGCCTGTGAAGGCGTTGATGGAAGTGGTGGAAGCTGGAAGTGCAGAGTAGTCAACGTGAGCGCTTTCTGGAAGAAACAATTCATTACAAAGTGAAGACGCACTCAGAAACTTGCAGGAAAAGCTGTAGTTTCAGTCACGATAGATTATGAAAATTTATTTCCTTCGTCGGTCAGACGAGATTCCATCATGACCTGCTGCAAAGTTGCATCCCCATCTCACGTGTGAGTATTCCAGGTTTCGATTGCTCAGGGTTAAGAGTAAGATCATGTTGGCTCACTGTTCTGCGGAACAGTTTATGCAACCGTGCTGCACCAGAACTACGCGCATTGCTAAAAATATCCTCCATTATTGTTGGATATACAGGTTCGGCGGTCATTTGTGTTCTGCCCATGAGCTACTTTATTTGTTTTTTTAAACTATCCCTTCTAAACGCCTCGTGCAGTTTAGTCTCTTTATGTATTTTCGTTCATCATTATTTTATTTTGTTTTTTGTCTTTTCACTTAATATGATGTCAATCCATTTTTCATCATGAGAGGAAGGGATGCAAATACTGTTCCGGAGACAATGTGTTTCCCACGGAAGAGCGGTTTGCAAGTTTCAACATGTGGAGATGCTCTTCCACAGCAAAGAGAACCATCATTCGCAAACAACAAAAACCACTGCACCTGTGCCCAGAGTTACGTTATCAAAATTTCCTGCAACGTTTCTATGAACCCCACACTTATGACACCGTATGAATCACTGCATCTTCTTGACAAACATCACAGTAGGGACCTCAGATTAAGGAGCATTATATATTTAGCCTTAACTTTTTAAATGTTTTGATTGGATGAAACTAAAAAGTTCCCGTAAGTTGGCTGTATACTCTGAAAAATAAATCCGAAAATTATATGAGGAAAAATGAGGTGGAATGCACTTTTTTTAAAGAAAAAATTGAGAAGTGTAAAATAATTATTAAGATAACCAGTAAAATCCATCAAAGTTTTATTTTTATTTTTATTTTTAACTTCTCATAATTTTTTGAATCAAGATGTGAGTTTACATATTCAAACTTGTAATAAATAGTTAAAATTGATTCATTTAATGGTCACTTCTCTCTTTATACTATATCTAAATGACAATGCTTTGAAAAGGGAATCTTTCTTCACTATGCAAGCAAATATGGTAAAACTTTTGAAAAATGGCCTTTCCCAAAGAGGGTTTCTAAATATAAAAATGCTCCCAATCACCCATGATTATACAAGTTCCTAATCAAAATCAAGTCGATATTTTGGGTACCACAACCCTAATGGAGGAGTTGCATTCTCGGCACCTTGGAACCATCTAGTGAAGGAAGAGCTTGTGAGTGTGTGTGCAAGACATTTCTCACTGTTCAACATCAAAGCCTCTGCCATGGGAGGAGTGATTTCGAAGCTCACACTGGTACTCCGACGATCAGTGCAACTTGCACATCATCAAGACATTCGAATGGTCGGTGGGGTCCGTTTTATTGCTCGGCGTACAGAGATTGATGAGATTGAGGTCAGAATTCATGCATTTTGGACTTTCTTGTGTTTTTGTTCGTTTAGTTTTATGATTGTTTGTTTTGTATTCTTTATCTCGTTTTCTTTGGCACGTTGATGCTTGACTTTTAGTTTCTGAGGGTTGTAAAGTGTCACAGTATCGATCAAACGTCTGGACCAGTTATTGTAATACTGGTGAAACGAGTCTAATCTTGTAGATTAAAAAGTGATTAATACCATCCTTAGAATGGTGTTAAATGGATTCAGCGTGTTCCTTATATATATATATATATATATATATAGATAAATATGTTTTTAATTTATGGATGTGTAGGCGGTTTTTATGGGTTGTTGTTGCCTTCAAGAACAAACAAAAATAAAAAGGAGTTCAAGAGCTGGGTCTAGTAAATTTATTTTCAGCGATTAGAAGAAAAAAGGAAGTTAGTATCAAGTTTTTCTGCTTTAGTATATCATTCTTAGGCGGTTATTTTTTGGCGGACAAATATGCAGACAAATATGGCGGACAGATAGTCATTTTGAATCAGAATCAAATGGATTCAGGATCCAGGGTTTGTGGCTCATCAACTTGACTTATTGTTACGAAATGCTAATTAAATAAAAACAATGCGATATCCAAATGAAGACATGTTATTTTTTTTTGCATTGATCACAAACTATTCAATCCCCAAATAATATTATCCAGACAAAAATTATGTATATATATATATATATATATATATATTCATATATATCACAACCAGTGAAACACGATCAAACTTCTATAAATTCAAAACTATTCTTTATTATCCTCAACGCACTACCCTACACATGCACAATATGTGAAGCCGTAGTGCACTTTAAAAATAATTCCTATATTTGTACTCTCAAAAGCCATGAAATAAAAGTAGCCTTTTAAAGTATAAAAAGTAATAAAACTAGCTTTTTAAGACTCAATCAACAATGAAGGATTTCAAATCATGGTCGTTATCAGAAGAGGGCAGGCCAGTCCCCCCCCCCCCGCCCTCTCAATCTCGCTGCCCGTGGAGAAAAAATATTCTCCGCTGCCCGCAACGAGGCACTTCGTTGCCTAGTTCTAGGGCACTTGAGTAAGTGTGTGAGCTCAGCCATCGCCGAGCTCCGCCTCCTCCTCATCCTCACAGAGCTTGGCTGCGTCCATGCTCACGATGCTTTCCACCCGATCACTCGTGCTTGTGATCGGAGCTTCGAAACCAACAGGGACTGCGATTCTCTCGAGCTGAGATCTGTGTACTTGGATTCAATTACTGGGATCTGGCGCTGATAACTGGGATTTTGGACATTAGATCTGGTCTGTGTGTTGGCTTGTGTGTTTGGGAGTGTTTGCTCCTGTAGGCTTGGCGGCGGTTGAATTGAATTTCAGCGCGGTTTGTAGACTGCGAGGAGTGCCGAAGATGGAAATGTCTCTTGTGACGACGACGGTTTGTGCTCTTTCGACAGGCTACGCTTCGAGTTTCGAGTTTATGATTTTTTGAGAGTGGCGTAGGATTGGTTTGTTGATTTTTGTTTTTATTCTTCGTGTTTTTCATATTGAGCATGTCTGCGTTGTGAGAATATCTGTTTTTTTTTAACTTAATTCGATGCATGATCGAGTGAGATATTGCATTTATTTATTTATTTATTTTTTTAGAGGTTTCCTGATTGTTACTAATTTGTGGTTTTGTCGTTGTGCCCTTCGGCACGCAGTGGAGGAGCATGTAAAGAGATAATTTAGGGAAGGATTTCCTCATGAGCTTCTTTCAGCTGAGTTCGGAAGCGTTTGATTAGTTTATTATTGGTGTCAGCTGGACACTATGACTTGCGAGATTTTGGTCAGGATGGGTGGTTCTTCTGTGATATTTTCAAAGATTCGCGGAGTAGTGCAAGCTGTGAATTCTTACAAGGTCACTCTTGCGTGTGGTTTTATTACTATACTGCTTGTGCAAACAGCCTTAGTGCATTACAAAGCAGATGACCAGATCTCGGGCGACATTGAGGGCATGGCTTCGTGGACTCCTGTGGAGACCAATCGACATGGACGTAAGCTGGCCCAGGACACTGTGTCATCTGATCCTGAGAAGCCGGATCCAGTGACGGCCAGTAAATTTGTAGAGGAGGAGAAATGGGACCCTAGTACACCTTACACCCTGGGTCCAAAAATCTCCAACTGGGACATGCAGCGAGTGTTGTGGAATCAGAAAAACCCAGGCAGGAACAGGACTCGCAATGGCAAACCAAAAACCATGCTCGTGTCGGGGTCGCAGCCCGGCCCCTGCAGCAACCCGATGGGTGACTTCTACCATTTGAAGTTTGTCAAGAACAGGCTCGACTACGCTCGCCTTCATGGACTCGAGTTTTTCTACAACATGGCGACGTACTCGAAGGAGATGACTTCGTTCTGGGCTAAGCTGCCGCTGCTGAGGAAGATCATGGTGAACCACCCTGACATCGAGTGGATATGGTGGATGGACAGTGACGCGATCTTCACGGACATGACCTTTGAGATGCCCATGGAAAAATACGAGGGGAAGAACCTGGTTGTGCATGGGTTTCATAATTTGTTGTTTGAGCAGCATCGTTGGATAGGTTTGAATACCGGCAGCTTCCTCATCAGAAATTGTCAGTGGTCACTGGATCTGCTTGATGCTTGGGCTGTTTTTGGGCCGGAAGGAGAAACTAGGGTCAACGCAGGTACCGATCCCTTTTTTCGCCTTTTCATGCTGCCTGAAGTTGACTTGTGCATTGCTGCATTTTCCAGATGTATTATGCAATAGTTGTATTTGAATTGGGAGTTACATTTTGAGATTTTCATTTCGCACTTCTTATCCCCCTTGTATACCTGTTGCAGGTAAAATGTTGACAGCTAAGTTGGTTGAGCGTCCCACTTTTGAAGCCGATGATCAGTCCGCCCTCGTGTATCTTATGCTCTTTGACGACCCTAAATGGAAGCTGAAGACGCACATTGAGTGGGAGTTTTATCTCCACGGCTACTGGAAGTACTTGGTGTACAAGTACGAAGAATTGATGGCGAAGAGTCACCCTGGTTTCGGAGACGAACGATGGCCTTTCGTGACACACTTCGTGGGGTGCAAGCCCTGCCAACTGTCTGTAACTCCAGAGGTGGAAGAATGTTTCTTGCAAATGGAGCGAGCTTTCAATTTTGCAGATAACCAGGTGCTGGAAAAGTATGGTTATGCCCACAGGGCCCTAGCATCTTTCAAGACGCAACGCATTCGCAAGGACACTGCAGATCCGCTAGGTTTACTGGAGGAGCGCAAACCAAAACCCGAAGATGAAACGGCTTCTCTCACCTTCCAGGAGAAGCAGTTTTTGCATAACAAGGAACTCGCGGAGCAGGCAGAAATTTGGGGACGAACTTAGATGTTATTTACTATATCCACTGCATTAATCTACTCAGAGATGGCCTGATCCATTCTTCTTCGGCATTAAGGTGACCTCTAACTACCACGTCCTCTCGCACAGATTTATCAGTTTCCTTCATTGTCCTCAATCATTGAGCCTAGTGTACAAGTACCTCAAACCAAGATCAGGTCTGACTTGGGTCGGGTCTGCCGGATTTGAGCCATGTGCAAAGAAGCGTATTTTATCAAATTCTCAGAAATGGGGCTCATGCACTGGCTTGTGGGTATGCAGTGACTTAGATATCCTTTTAAAGTGTGGCAATGCTTGGTCTCAAGGATTGATGAAAGCCCACTGAGCTTAGTCTGTACAGTACTATCAAGCAGTTGGTATTTGTATTGAATTTGAAGAAATTCGAAATTGAATCAACTCTTGCGTGATTCTTGCGTCCAGAGCTCCTTGGAATTCGAATCCTAACTAGACCTTCCTGCTACAAAAGCTGCTGGTGCCCTGGAATGGAATTATCATCTCTTTGCAGTTAGGAGAAGTTGTGCGCAGATAATTCTGGCGTTGTTTTCATGTCCCATCAGCACTTTTAGAGCCTGAAGCTGCTGAAACATACTTGATTATTGTTCAGCAAATTTTGAATTCTTTAAGCAAAGCCATTGGTCATAAATACTGCGTAAGGATGCAATCAATGTATGATGAACATCTCTCAAATTTTCCGCTGAAGCAATATGATGTGTGTGGAAGACAAGAGTGAAAAACGATATTAGTGAGCAGATGTTGCAAGCTGGAAAGTGGAATCTAACATCGATAAATGTGTGTAAGAGCGGCCAAATAGCAAATGTTGCCACATACATGAAATGGAGTAAAATGATATTCATCATATATTCAACCAATTCTCTAACCCAAATTCCACTTTCGTCTAACCGTAACGAAAGAAAACCACAGCCTATTATGCAGTGACAGCTTGCTGATCTTTCTTAAAATATCACTTCTCATTCACTCATGTTACTCCATTTTTGCCTCGAAGTGGACATAATAATTTTTAATTGGTATTATAATTTTCTTATTTAGTCTTGCAGATATACAACCGGCTTAATTAAAAGAACGGCGGCAATTCAACAAGTAGGGGTAGAAAAGTTTGTATAATATTTTACATATTCCTTACTCCAAATTTCGTAAATAATATATCGGATAAGCTATTTAAGAAAATGAAGACAGTATTTAAACCACTTTAATTTCAGCATACTATTCCAACATTACATTCCAAAGAAGATATTTTCAAAATCAACAGGGAGAAGTTGATTGCTAAGTGGCCAACATTAAGAAACAGACCTGCTAGGTAGAATTTCGAGGGGAAATAACTAACTAGTATTGAAAATGACCATAATGACGTTTACCTTCGTTGAGTCAAAATATACAGTCCACGTTGAATGCGGAGTTAATATATCACTTCCAGGCCGTGCGTGCACGCGTAGTCGGTCCCTTGGCCGCAGCCACGCTCTTTTTCTCACCCTTCTTAGGTAATCGTTTGAAATCAGGGTCGTTGTCACCGGACTCTTGTGCAACAGCCTGCTTAGATAGGGCTGCTTTGCTGTTGCCAGAATCGGCTTCATCTTCCGTTGTAATGCTTAGGGTTTGGCCACTCACTCCAGAACTCTGTGAGGCGGACATTGACACTTGGCGTCTAGTTCTAGGTCGAGCAGGCAATGAGACTTCATTCTTTGTTTTTGCTGCAGTCCTGTTACGAGTGATTCTCTTAGATTCGGCTTCGACCAGGGTCGTTGCACGACTACTTCGTTTAGAACGCCTTGGTTCTAAAATTGCATTCTCCTCATCAGCAGATTCTACACTTGATGCGTCGCTTAAGGCTGCAACTAATAAAAGAGCACAATTAGGATAAGCTGCATGCGCTTGCGACATACTGGTACAATCATATCAATGGTCGTTTCCTCTAAATATCCGAAATGCGACTGGTGCATGTACTTCAGTGCATTACAGTTCACATGAGACCTTGTCTTATTTTGCATCAAACAAACATTGGCTTTCCGATAAGTGCAAGGATAAGTACCTTCGTTCTTCAAGCTCAGGTTTGGGCAATAAGGAACTTGGCACCATGACTAAGAAATAAACTGCATGCAGAACTTACCTCCTGACGTTTCAGCCGACGTTGAATGAACTGCTATTTCTTGGACTACCAGCTGTTTTAAATCAGAGTTGGTAGTTAGTTTCAAATCTACCACCTCAGGGCACGCGTCATCATCCTCTTCGGGTTCACTTCTGAAATCGTCGGAATCATCCGATTCATCTGATCGTTGCTTTGCCGCTGAGAAGGAGAGTCGTTGCAGAGCTTCAGATTTGCTCTGACGAGGAGAGCGAGAGATCCCAACGATCACTGGTGATTCTACAACTGCTGGAGTTTTCCTTATACCTGCAAATTCGGATGCTTCAGACTTACTACGTTCCATAATTTAACAGAAGAAAAGAACCCAATTAGCCAGCACATATTATTCTGTTCCGCAGTTTTGAGTTGTTTCTTCATAAATATAGATACAGTCCCTTATTTTTTTTAAATAGCAAAACATACGTAAATTCCAAAAAGAGTAGGAGGGTCTGCAATTCGTGCATCTAGAATTTGATATTACACACGTTTTGTAGTAGATTGTCTTTTTGGAGTTGTTCTGGACTTTGCTGCAGGAGTGACGGCTAGCTCCTCGTCCTTGTAATCTCCTGATGGAAGATTCAGCCCAAATTTAGCTGCACATGCCAAATACGAATTGATCAATTGGCAACATACAAGAACGCAGGTGGACCCTTGTGGATGGTAATCTGAGCTAAAATAACTCAAGAACAGAACACTTGTTTCAGCGGGAAAATAAAAGCTTCGCGCATCGCTTGAGTACAAACTAAAGATAGTTGGGAAAGGTGCAGGCGATTGAAAGTCAACGTGCTAAGAAAAAGATTCACACGCTGCCCATTACAATAAAAAGTGATATTTTGTGCGTTTCCGTCACTGAAAACAACCCCCCACCCCCTCTCTCCAAATTTACAATCATAGGGGTCCTACAGCATAAATCGAAGAGCATCATCACATCGACTGGAAGAACGAAGCTTACCGAGAAAGTTTTGAAACTGTTCATCCGAAAGGGATTGCTCTGGGTTACAATCCATAGATTTTAAGTGCCTGAGCAATTCTTTAAGTTCTTTATGCAGTAGCTTGTCACCAGCAACCGCATCCATCATACTGCAACCACAGAAAGCACTCCATGACCGACGGAAAAGATAAACAAGAGACGCATGCTCTACATGGTAATGTATAGTAATGAATCTTAAACAATTCAGCTGCATAGAAAATGGGAGACGACTCACGGGCCAAGAAGCTGAATCATGCACTTAATTTCATCCTGGGCTGAGGGTCGGAACTCTAATGCAGCAGCAATCCTTGCTATAGCCACCATGTAAGCTTTACCAGCAGCACTACTATCTGCAGATAATCGAGTGACCTGTTCATAGAACTCAGTATGAGCAAGCAACTCCACTAGGTAAAGCAGCCACAGCCTACATACTAGCAACATTGAAAAGGAAGTGCAAGTTCTCACCAGCAGGTTGTGAAATACTCTCCCTAAAGGAAGCCAATGGGTTTTATCTCTCTTCCAAATACTGTTTTTAGTAAGGGAGACAAGGACTGTTCGTGCAACATTCCACGAGGAATACGCAATAACGTGCATATTATTGCAGTCGTACCTCCACGGCGATGTTAATAGCCAGCCTCTCAAGGCCTACGTCAAGCAAACTGCTGCTAGTATTTCCATCTATTTGCTGGGAAGTCACCAGCAACGGATTTTGCAAAAGCTGCAGCATAAACCGAGATAACTGTGTTGCCCTCTTTTTGGCTGAAACCAAGGCTGTTGCTATTCCTTTATTGCCATACACTCCAGGCCACTCAGCCCGCATCACAGGAATGAATGTTTTGGCGATACATTTCTGAGAGAGGACCCAAAATACAGATCAGATACAACTCGGAGGAGTACCAATAACTGACAGATCAATAAACCATTCAAGCAGACCAAATCAAAACACACATACCTTGTTCTCAGCGGACAACACAGAGTAATTGTTGAAGAATACTGACAAACATTGTTGTAGTCTGCCAGATAAAATTGAGCAGAGATGAGAGTCAGTTTGCTGGCAAAGTAGCCAGGGTGGGGTACTACGAGGTACTTCACCAATAAATAAACAGGCAAAGTCGCAGCAAGCGTCCAGCACGGGTCATATTACAGTGGAAGTGCCCGACTTAATAATTCAATTGAATTTAAATAAAGTCAATTAAAAAAAACAAAAACAAAAACAAAAACAAAAAACTTAACTTACGATAGGATTCTAAATTGAGTCCTGCAAGTATCTTAATACAAGAAGGGCCATCAGTACTGAGGTTAAGGCCGATGACGCCACGCATGACTGTAAGAACCAACTACACGAACTGTATATGCAAACATCTGACGATGAGAATGCGCAAGAACATTACTCTAGCTTCTTCACTAACCTGAGTGATATTTCCAAATCATCGTTGAAGTACAACCGCAGAAGTTTTGCTAGTACAGAATCTTCAATAGCCTGAATATCTTTGAACAGCTTACTCTGCAGCAACAACTTTGCAAATCCTTCCGCACCCAAGCTTCTTGAAGTCTCCAGTTCTTCAGCAGAATCCTCCTCCATTTCCTCATAAATGGTTTCAGAGTCTAACAACGACATCAACAGCTCTAGTAGGGGCTTACGCATAGCAGTGGCTACGTCTTCTTCGAGACCATATTCAGCATTTCCTGCAGGGAGCTGAAGCCAATACGGTCCTAATTAAAAGAAAAGTCACATAAACAACATAATAGCATGCCTGCTGATGCAGGATAGAGAGAATCACAAGTACCTTCGTTTCCAGTTGGTAAGGCTCAGGAACAGGCCCCCGATTACAGTCAATACCAATGGCTTGATCCAAAGTTGTGGCTCCATGGCATAATATTAGATCGAACAGAGCCTTGATAGCCATATTCTGAACAATTGAAATACCACTCGAAAAAGATAGTCGTAGTTGCCTGATCACAGTTGGGGTAGCTTTTGTTGACAACTGACCAAACAGGCCTAAGCATCGAACGCCAGCCTTTTGCACCTCAGGGTGGACGTGCTTTACCTGAAATTCAAGTAAAATACAAGATAAGCCTGGAAGATTGGTGGGTCTTTAAGCCCCCAGAACCGTATATATATATATATATATATATATATATATGTGTGTGTGTGTGTAAGTATGTATATGTATATATATTCCTGCAGCAATACGAGAAGGAAACTATTTCCGAGCCGATTCGAAGACAAATCCTAGAACACGCAAATCGAGAGGAAGTTGATATACACCACTTACAGCTGGAACAAGAAGGGCGTCAACGATTTCTTGACTTCCAATTGCACATCCTGCAAGTTGACGTAACGACTTGATCCTTTCTAGCAAAAGACTTGTCACAGCAAGACAATGCAACCACTGGCTAGCTTCAGCCCCTCCATCACGACAAGGTTGACCCAATCGTAAAATAGCATCGGCAAGTACTTTCGCATACTCTCCTTGCTCAGAGTAGACTTTCACTGCAAGCTCTGCAACTGCTGCAGCCCATTCTGTGTTCCCAAAGCAAATGCACAGCTTAAAGCCAACACGTCTCCAAAACGAATTGATCATCAGAAAGCTCAGAGGATAAACCAAGGATGAGACTCCAAAGGTAATCTTTGAATCACGGGAAAGGTTTGTACTAAATACCAAGAATTTCCCTATTGATCTCATGAGGCGGAGCATGATAAATCCATTATGACTGAAAAGCTTCAGGAGAAGTTATGAGCCAAGAAGGCTACCTTGATCACCTCCGAGGCTCAGCCCGTCACCTACAAACACTTCGGAGTTGATTTCATGAACTACATCTTGACTGTCAGGAGCCTCGGCTAGCAAGAGAGTCTTGACAAGGGTTCCGGCAACCTTCCGATTAGTACTGTCACTGAAGTCCAGAACTGTGGCTAAAAGCACTAGCTGCCGTGCCGCGAATCGGTGTCTTGGCCCTATCACAGAATATAGCACAACCAAATTTCGACTTCATAAGAATCGAAAGGTCAGGACTGCAGAATCCTACGAACATGAGACTATCTATTTCATCGCTTGCGGTAGTATTGCCAGACCTGCAAAGTATTTAAAATACGTATAAGCTACTGAATGTAACTTTATATGAAGACTGATAAATCGAGTACAAGGACGTGTGATAAAGGCTAGTTTGTCCCTGATACCTGCATTTAAGTGAGCAGTGACGAGTTCAACATATGATGCGACGGTCGGAGGTAGGATGGAATCGAGTAATTCATTGACATCAGCAGCAGTTGCTGCATTGAGTGCAGCCTGTGCGCCTCCAGTATTAGCGGCTTCGTTCCCCTTCGCCTGCACATATGTCACCAACATGTTTCAAGAGGAATTGGGAACGATTTTCTGCTCAAAACATCCAAATGTAAAACTCTCCGTTCCAGGCAAGACAATCATGCATAACGATTGAAGACGCATAGAGAAGCATGCTTATGATGAAATTGACATCGGCAGAAGTATACACGTGTACTGGATCCAATTGATACTCCGTTTCAGGATCATAGAGTGGTCCCACACAGGAAAATAACAAGAAATAAAAAACAGTATTCTTAATACCTGTGCCTGTGCATGTAAATTGGTGCATACAACACGCCAATATAGGGCTTGCTCTGCACCCATCAGCTGTGCTTCGTAGTCTCCATGTTCTGCAACGACACACTTAGAAAACTTCAGTGACTAACTCTTTTGTACCAAATAAAAAATATAGTAGCAATTGATAAGGATTTTTCTTCGTATAGACCTGCGGCATTTGATGTCAAAGGAAGGAGAAATTGCCGCAGTCCCTCTCTTTCATTGGGTTTGATGGCATCGTGCTTCAAGAGTTCATTCAAGACTAACTCGCCCACTTTCTCATTCGTTTCAACATCCAGATAGCGGAGCAGGGCAATAACATCTCCATCACAATCCCGATTCAACCACGACGACTTGAGCATATTCATACACTCAGCTTGAACGGCTGGTACACGATCGGCCAAACCTCGTTGGAGGACCTTCGCCCTTTGCATGATGCTGCAAATTCAAAAAAGCCATCCAACATTTTCAGTGTATATACCTTTTGATTATTAAATCCTCTTCGTTGAAGGGAGTTACATGCAAACATGATAACCACTCCCCAAATCCCAAAGAGTATAGAGAAGGAAAGTACTTTACCTCAACATGTTGAGGGGAAGCTTGCTTGCAAAGAACAAGTACACCGCTTTCCGAACGCTATCACTAACGTCCATGGTGCGTTCAAAAATTGGTACAATCGTAGAATTTACAGCTGGAATGGACAGAACAACCATTTTGCGTACATCCTGCACACAACAGAGTGTTCTTAAACCAGTGAAGTTAAATTCAGTAGCCGACTCTAGCTTGCTGCGGGCCTTAGCAAAAGTACAGAACGTGATTAAGAGAGAGTGTTACCGCACTACGGTCCGTTTCTAATGATTGTAGATAAGCAGCCACGGTGGAATCGTTCTCGTCGCCAGATACCAATCGAGCCAGGGCCCGAGCTGCGTTCACGCGCACTGCAGGCACTTTGTCCTGCATACGCGTCTGCATGCTTCCAATTAATTCCTCCCATAGCTCATCACTGACCTCCACGTCATCTGCTAACCGTGTCATAACCTGTGTACGTTCACAGTATAGCCTCAATACTTGTCCAACCTCAGGACGTGAAAATCTGGCCTCAACGGGCTTTATGTTACAATCAAAGAACCCCATGGATGATAAGGAGCAAGAGACCTGGATTTCCCTAGAAATGAAATCATACCAAAAATCTTACTGCAAAGAGAGGAGTCATCATGCATCACGCAGTCATTACCTTCCAACCAGCAAAAAAAATGAGCATCTCATGCACCGCGTAAGTGCAAGTACAAATCACAATCCTTTCCCTGGACTGTAAGCTAAATGGTTGACAAAGGCCTAGCAGAAATATAGCGATGTAAAGTGCTTTGTTATTGAGTAACTCAAATTATGAACGACAAGTAACGCTTATTATTTCACCGGAATAAGGCCCAGCTATTTCACAACTTGACATTTCAGAATTGCAACATTCCAATTAGCCAAACACATGCTGCGGTGTGGAGTTGACAGCTCTACTTAAGTCACATGTGTTCCTCCAAGCCATCCTACCATTGTCTAAAGGGATTAGCATCGATGAGTACTAGAAGATGTAGACAAATATTCTCTTCTAAATGAGACAAGGAGAAACATGTAGAAAACCCAATATTGACGAAGAGTAAGCTTCATTCGACCTTCAAAACTTGTCATGAAAGATAGGTAAGATACAGAAATTGAACCCAGATGACTGTAAATTCCTATTACATGAAATGCGGTGCAGTGAAATAACTCAGTGTTGGTCACATTTGGAAGAGAATATTTCACCTCTGCAATCAACTGAGAAGCCCGAAAGCGAACAGTCTTGTTAGCAGCATCTACTAGCACCAACAAATACTTCAGAAACTCCTCCACAAACAAGTTGCAATCCTCCTCGTGCTCCTCATCACGATATGCTGAAAATGCGGACACATACTTCACAACTCTCTCCACGCTTGGCTCCTTCTCTTGAATCAGAAGAATCGGGCGCAAGGAGTTACACAGAACGGAGAAAAAAGTCTCGCGATGCTCTGCCCGGCATTTCACAAGCTCCTTTATGGTACGCAGGTGTGGAGTCTGCGTGTGTTGGCATTCGTTCAGAATCCGTGGGATTAGGACTTCGGGACGCTCACTCGGCTGAGGAGCACGGCGCTTGCCAGCCGCCCCTTGGCACATGGCGCCTAGCGCTACTTTTCCTTCTCCCTTCTCAAAACTCCAATGTTCACAATAAAATGAACCACAGGTCAAGTTTGAAATTCGAAAACGTCAATTGAGCAAGGTATTTATCAGCTAAGCAGAGGAACAGCCGTGACAGATGCGAAATCCGACATCCGCAGAAAGCTCTACTCAATTGACTAGCGTCTCAACCCCTCGAAACACGATAATGAAATTGCCAAGGTCTTTCACTCGTCTCGTAAACAACCTACGATTTCAACATCCTTCTGCTTCTCCTGCTTCTGATACTCCAGACTGCCCCAAATCAAATACCTAATCCTTCATCTCCCAAAATGCCGCACGAGAATCAATAAGTAAACCACACCCTCCAACGAACCAACACTCCCAGTGCTTTCAATGCTTCATGCTCAACTGCACTATTCCCTGTTCCACTAAATTTTTCAAGAATTTCGATACGTCATAGGCCAAGTATGATAACGACATCCTTACATCGACAAACTTCAATCACGTCGAAATTTCAAAACCATAAACAAGAGCAGATGAAAGCAAAAAAAGACGAGCACACTCAACTACACAAGAGATCGACAAACCCGAAGAAGACGACGAAGGTTTGAATTCTGCGCGGGAGATACGTGGATGAAAACCTGCGTTTGTTGCTGAAAACCAGCGGCGAGCAACAAAGGAACGAATGAACTCAACGGTTCACATGAGCGTCATCCATCCCAGGGATTCGACGAATGTAATCTCCTTCCATTAAAAGTCGTATTCTTCTCTCCCCATACGTAGTTTTATATAATATACGAATTTGTCGTCGCTCCTTCCAGATCGTCCTCCTAATTGAGATCATCGTTCCTTGAGCTGTTGAGCTTCTCGAAGTTCATATGAACATAGACAACCTCAAGATCCAGATGATTCTTCATTAATTCGGCAACAACATCCACCCCTGCCAGCGGTAGGCGCCATCATACTTCTTCGTCCAAAGATTTTCACAGTTTGGACAACGGGTCAACAGGATGGGAGTGCCTGAGTTCTCTGTAGCACAGCCAAACTGCTTGCAACGCTGGGCCTTCACCATTGTTGCAAGTTTGAAATCAGTCTCGGAGAGCTGAACACACTGTGCGAAAACCCTCATTCCTGGAGGGAAAAAATACTGTTCAACTTCGCATCAGCAGACGGCCGCGGGGCCTACCGTCACACTGAATAATTCGAAAGTATTGGTTGGAGGTTGTTGCTTGCATGACACGTATCCTTGCAAAAATATTTCTACAGACTTTGAAATGACAAGGGAGCTGTGGAAAGGAACACGCATGCGGGGCTGGTGCAAATAGATTACAAATGTGTCGTTTCCTATCTGAAAAGGTAATCGCTGCTTGTTAATCAAAGAAAAGAAAAAAGCGGCGGAAGAAGAAGTAAAAAAAGAAGAAAATGAGAGAAATAGATAGAGAATTATCTGCGGTGTTCGATCGAACAAACTAAGATTACATCAGTCACAATGGTGTTCATAGAGTGGCGAGTGTAAACGTCCAATATGAAGCGAGTTGCTCGAGGGTCTACCGTCAATTTTATTCACGCACATGACGGAATGCAATGTAAACCAGAACTGTCCAATCGAACAGCAGAACAAATCCACTATCACACTCAATTTCGACAGTTGAGTTTTGTTCGTTGAAATTGCGGATAGCTTGCGATCATGGGAAGATCATTCACCTTTTCAACAATGCGATGACGGACTTCCATCCTCCTCCAAGCCTGCTGCTGCTGCTGCACACTCCACAACTCTCCAGCCCATTCCGCATGCAGCGACAGACTAATCGATCGATCGACCGTCGGGGGAATAGAATCGATGTCAACAACTCTGGCCGTGAATAATGCTACCTCGCCTCTCTGTGGCACACACAACCCGTCTCCATTCGCCTATGAAAAAGTGGGCCTTCCAAAATCGAACTAAAAAATCTATTCATTGTGGCTTTTGATGGCAACAATCCAATATAGAACATGATAATGAACAAATTAATTAAGTAATTAATTAATTATTAATAAATTACTTTCTAAGATTTTTGAAATTGAACAATGTAAACAATAATATAGATGTTGAATATTTTATGAACAGTGATTTCCTTTTTTATTTTCATTTTACTTTTCTTTTACTTTTTACTTTAATACATGTATTCATTGATCCTTAAAATGATCATTTAACATTAGGAAAAATGTTAAATTTTTGAAATCATAAAACTCAAATCAAATTGATTTTAATGCACTTTTTCTTATTTTTCTTTATTTTTCTTTTACCATAGGATTGATCCTAATTAATTTAAGTAGGGTTAAAAACCTTAAAACATGGATCAATGTAATTATATGTCCAAATTCGAGCCTAGGTAACATCTCTAAAACATCCAAATTAACATTTGACATTTAAATATGCAATAAATGTGCAAATTAAGTTCAAAATCTAAGTAAAGAATTTACATGAATTTCAAATGATTATTTTCATTCAACAAGACTGTCATTTATTTTTGTCCAAATTATTTTCCATGAAAAAAATTAAATTAATGTTTCTTATTTTTTTTATTATTGAATATCATATTAGGTTTGTTTGTAGATTATAGATTTGTGTTCCTTGACTACCACCTACCCCTACATTATTAATTCTATAACAAAATATTGTTGGAATATATGATCTAGATTTAAATGAGATGATAGTTGATTTGTTGAAAGATTTCAAAAGAATTGAATATATTTCAATATTAGATTCAGGTACAATAATAATATTTAAATACATATCTTATGTATATTGTGATATAATTCATCAATATATATATATATATACTCAAATTCTAGCAGCTACTGTAATGTTAGACGGAAAAAAGTCATACCTGTTTAACAATGCCTCACAAACGTATGTAGGCGAGAATCTTCTACTTAAATGTCTTCATTTCAAAAAATGTAAGAACTTCAACTCAAGAGTAAAAAACTCACTATGCAGTGCATCTCAATTAGTGTACAGAGCACTAATCATTTTATTTCTCTCGTGAAGTCATTAAGGAAACAAAAAATAACCACAAATAAGGATATTCGTTATAAAACATGATGTTATTTGTAAATTTTTTACTTGGTTATTTGTTTTATGTTAACATTAAAATATTTACAAATAATATAATAAAGCATTTACAATTATAATGATATTGTATGGAAATTCATATTGTTGGATGGTGATTCAAATTACTACAAATACAATGATATTTTGTAATCTCCATCCAACAATCTACTTTGTCAACTGTTATCTTTAAAACTGCAAAACAACTGTAAATAGTCCTCACAAAAAAAAAAACAAAAAACAAAAAACAAAAAAAAAACAAATAACTAAATAAATAAAGTGAACCAATGGATGAATGTTTGGATAAATTTGGATGACGATTCCTGGATGCATGAAACCACTGTCTGGAATGGCATCTTCATCAACAAAGTGTCCACGTCAGCACACGTCAGGCGCATCCTTGTCAGCACCCTTCTCCCTGCTGGACTCAGATGACGTGGCATGGTTCAGTCTTCCCTTTCTCCGTGTCTCCCTCACGACAGGGCAATTTTATGGGTTCTCGAGGCGGTTGATGGGTCTATTACCACGCCTCCGATGGACCCTCGGCTATCTGCGCGGTGATAGGCCTCATACAGACTCCATTCAACTAATAACCGCCGCGAGCACCGTCACTGGTCGCCAAACCGTCAAGCGGATTCCAAAAGAATTGACCTTCACGTTTCATCCACTAATCCTCGTTCATCTGGTCAGTATCATCCATTCCACGACAGTATCAAGATGGATGATAGAATGGTGTTCATCCATGAATGCCAGCGTGGAAATTCGTTCGTCGGACGTCTTCACGTGGTTCCTCGTTCATCATGCCACGTTTCGTCACGCATGGTGTGGATCGTTGCCTTGTTGCTGACATTCCCGATGTGGTGCTTGCTTCGTTGCGAACCAATGGATGAAAATCCTTAGGTTTTGATTACTCGCTAAGTTGTTGACCAACTATAGTACTTTCATCCATGCCAATTTTTTCTCGAATTTGAGTGTAACATAGTGTGCGTTGATTTAGATTATTTGGTTTTTTTACATTGGTAATCATGTTAAATATAGTTTTGATACCCTTTCAATCAAACACCCATTTCAAATCATAAATGGATAAAGTTTACAAACATTATGATAAATTTGTAGTAGGAAGTATAGTGCATAATATTTCAGGGATTTTTTCATTGATAAATTTTCCTTTGAAATAAAAATAAATTAAAAATTGAAAATTATAATTCAATCATGTTCCTCAAGAATTAATAGTAATAATGTTACATGTTGGTTTATATTCATGTTTGCATCATAAAAATGAAGAATCTAACATTACTGAAATCGGAATATGTAAGAAAAATTAGTATGAAACCGTTGTGTATCTTAAACAGTTATAGAAATTAAATCTCTGCTTCACAAGCGTTGCTTAGTTTTATAGCTTCTTGATCAGTCTTTTTATAAATATTTCCCAATAGATTAAAAAAAAAAACAATGATAAAAGTTTGTTTATTTATTATTCATTTTCCACTCATCTTCTTTGGCGATTTTTTTCTTTTTTACCTTACTAAAAACCAGTCCTAACAAAATTTTCAACCTTTCTAATTATCATACAAACAAGTGTTAACTGTTAAATGCTGCTTGGGAAAGCATTGTTCATAAAAGTGTGAATTGTTATATCTCATCTGATTCCACACCCCAATCCAACATTTTTATAATTGTTAGCTAAATCGGACCTGGATGTGCATGAAAATAGTAAAGATAATAACTTGTACTTTTATTTAGAGCTACGAGAAACTTAACTTGAAAGTTTACCCAGTATTATTTATTTATTTATTTTTCATGAAATGAAAATTATATTTCATTTGTTTTATTTCACTAATCTCACATGAAAAACTTCAATAAATATCAACCCATGAAATTTGCATATGTGAGTGCATTCTTTTCCAACATGAGCAACCCAAGTACATACATACACATATATTATTTAAGGATAATGTTAAACTGTTTGCAACACTTCCCAGCACCAGCATTGAACATCTGCATATCGTGCTAAAATACTCTTCGAGAAGCAATGAACTTTCAACCCGGAATTAGAATTGCAGTTATAATGGTCAATCTAGACCCATACACGGGAGTAGGAGGAGACGCGCTCATAGGCTCTGCATCAGCACAACTCGATCTGTGGCTTTGGAATTAGTCTCGTGCATTTTAATTCCATGTTCACATAACAACCGTGCATTCATCTACCTGTACTCCCCCCCCCCCAATCCGCTGATCCTGAACCGATTTTGCCACAGAAATCATCCTAATTGTCATTCATCCAATTATCCTCATTCATCTGTCTCGGGTCTCCTCCTTTCCCGACTTCGTTCCTTTGTCGCTGGACTCGTTTCGACGGTTTCCTGCCTGCTCTCGGTTTTGCTTGCCCTGGCACGCTCATACTCTCACGGGACATAGCTTGCTGTCCCTCAGATGCGTCTTCTGGGCTTGAAGCTACTCACTCATGTTCGTAGTCCGGATTTCTAGGTCCATGTAGTACTAGAAATTTTCCGATTTGGTGCGGTGTAGCGATGGCGGGGCGTGAGCGAGTTGGGAGCAGGGTTGCCGTTGTGGAGTTCGTTGCGGTGTGAGATGTTTTCGTGGTGGGTTACGATGCGCGACGAGAAATGATGCTAGATCCTTAAATAGAAACTTTTATTTAAAGCGTGGATTAGTGTGGAAGAGTTTGGGGGAGTTTGGAGGGGTGGTTGTGTGTACTCGGTGGTTTGATGAATGTGTCTAGCTGGGGGTTGATTTTGGCGATTTAGATTGCATGTTGGAGTGATACTCATCAGAATTTGGATAGGCGCGGTGTTTTAATGTGATGGCGTCTATAGGAGCACTGTTCGTGTGTGTAGAGAGTTGGCGGTAAGGTGGTGTGTTTTGGCTTTCTCTGCTTCGGGAGGCGTAATATGTGATGTAAATTGTGGAGTATGGTGAAATGTTAAGGTTAATGGGGATCTCGAAATGGAACTGTAGATTATGGCAGCAATGGCGGAGACAGTAGGAGAAAGGAAGGTGGCGGACGGGCAAGCCCCCTTTTTGGACCAGCTGTCCGCTCGAGGTTTCAATGCTGAAGCTTCGGATGTCGCGGATTCTTCTAAACCAGCAGTACATGATTTGCCAAAATTGCAACCCTGTGGAACTCCCAAGGAACAGGTATGTTTTAGATTTGAAGCAGAGTTTGCTGACCTGTTTTAATTTTGTACATGTGTTTCCATTTAATTACTTTGAAACCTGTCTGGAATTTTGTCTTGCTAGCTTGGGAGAGCCGCTTACTTTTAGACTGTCTTTGTCGGCGTGGACAATCATGAGAACTAATGCAAAGTCAAACCGATAGATCGAGCAGATGCATGACTAGGTTTTTTAAGCAATTTGAACTCTTCTTCGCAGGACAATTCAGCAATGCAGATTTCCATAGCCGCTGCTGACAGTGTAGAGATGAAGGCACTACAGCATGTTGTGGAGTCTCTCGAGACTAGACTACAAGATGCATTGATGCAGGCGATATTGCAAGTTTTGGAGTCTTTAGGAAAGGAAGCAGCTGCCCGAGTGATCATGGCTGAACGCAAGGCATCAATTATGGAGCAGGAGCACATCAGCACTAAACAGCAGGCTCTTGCGATGATACTTCGTATGAAACACAGTTCCGATTCGATGGTCTGTTATTCATGCTTGCAAATAGCATGTCCTCCCTTTCAACATCTTTGCGCGTCATTATCCTCTCATGTTCAGGGCCATGTTTCTTATTTGTTTTTAGGTTGGAGGTGCTGATACGTGAGTACCTTAGACTCTGATTTTCTGCATAATCTAAATGTTTCCTCACAAATGGGGCCTTGACGTTATACTATATGTGTGTTTGCAGCTTATTGATGCTGAGAAGAGATTACGTTCAGAACAAAGACGATCGCAAGAATTGGATGCTAAAGTTAGCACTCTGCAAGACAAAATTAGACGGATGCAAGCAGAATTGAAGAGAAAGGGGGACATTCTGGAGGAGATTCAAAGACATTCAGACGTTGGGATCAGATCAGGGATGACGAGTCCTAGCGAAGGAGTTTCCAAGAAGCGAAAAGGAAATCCTCTCGTCAGGCCCATTGAGGTGAAAGCCAGTCAACGATGCGATGAATTTGTTGAGGACGAGTGTGACGATACTGCCACCGTTTTGACACCATCAACTGAACAACCCAATTCAGTTCTTAGTCAGGATATAGTTCAGACCACCCCCCGGAACTCGTCTGTGCAGGAATGTTCTCGGGCTGTTCCAATGATCAGCATGCAAAGGTCACCAACATCGTTGCGAAGACATGGTGATGATGGAAATGTACCAAAATTTGTTGACAAGGAATTCAATTCTCAAGCCGGTAGTACTGTGGAGCAAACGAAGACTTTAGTCGAGTCTAAGGGCACTCGCGGAAAATGTAGAGACGTTGAGGAAGATTTAGATTCAAGTGATCAGCATGACAGCAGTATGGAGGGCCCATCCCAAAATGCTGAAAAGAAGGCTCGTCTCACACATGATTCTTCAGCTAACGGTGAAGAGATGGAAGTCATGGCTGATGGCTTTCTAGGGCTTATTGCTTTGCAAGGAGCCCCACCAATGAGCACGCCTGAATTGCAAAATGGCGGTAGTGTTTCAGGTAGTGCTCTGGGAATAAGATCTGCTGCATGCTTGAGAGTCGTCCTCAATTTTTGAATCATCACATTTGGCAACTTAGGAGCTATTAAACAATCATCGAATTCAATCTCCCTTATGGTAGGGGAGTGACATTTATGTTATGAGATGCTCTAAATCTTCATTTTGATTGTGATTTGCCTTTTCATTAGTAACTTGGAATGTCGTCTTTTTTTTCAGAAGGATAAATCACAAGTATCTAACTTGGTTGCAGGACTCAAGTTAGAGCAACAAGCTGAGACAGACACTAACTCTTCGACTGATGATGAAGATGAATACCAATCCAAGCAGGGAAATGCGGATCAGAATATGCAACTCAAATCTGACGAAGTTTCTGTTCACCACAAGGTTCCAGGGTATACGAGTGAGAGATTGTCAAAAAGTATCTTAATTGAACCGACGATGGTACTCAGACGCAGCTCTACTGGGAGGAATAGGGGTAAACAATCATTATCCCCTGAGAAACCAGGAGTTCTTGCGGTGAAAGAGAAGGAATTGAAGACACCTGGAGACACGAAAGGAGTCGAAAGTACTGTATCGGCAAAATCAAAAGGTGGTGTAGTGCATGGTTCCAGCAATTTAGTGGTGGAGTCTTCACGAGACAGCCGGCGTCTGATGCAAGGTGCCCGCCAGGTGGGTACAATTTCCCTTATACCGCAGCTACTTCAAGAGCTCATCACACAGTAGTTGTAGATCTGTCACACATCTCTATTGAGTTAGTCTTGTATATTGCCTTTGAGTTGCGAAGTTATGCAAACTTTCCTTAAATGTTATAGACCCATTTAGAGGAGCACGGTGTAGTAAGGAATCTTGAAGAAGCTTAATGGGCTAATTTCTTGTCGGTTCTTGGTTATCGTGTTTCCTAACTAATTATTTTGGATTTGTTGCAGTTGCTATCTCTGCGGAAACTTTGAAAGGCTGGAAAATAGATTCCTTATTGGCAGTGATAATTTTGAGTGTTGATAATTAGAAGATGAGCCTTGTGAATATGCGAATTGTACATCTCCAGTTTCTATTTATCTACATTAATCTCAAATTTAAGTTTGTTCAGCTTTCTTTCAACACAGGAGTTTTGGATATAGCAACTTCGCACTTCAATAAATTCATGGCAGATTGCATGAGTGCACAGTTGCCATGCCTTATTGCATTTTAGTAGTGTTTTTTTTTTTTTTTTTTTTTTTTTTTTTGTTAATTTTTATATTTAGTATAGGATCACTAGAATTGGAATTAGATGGTGCACAAAACATCGTTGATTGTTAGTTGACATTTAGCATTAGTTGGGTGTGCAGATTGTGCTTCTGGTACACAACAATCGACCGGAGGCTAGACTGAACATTAACATGGCTAAACTTTTATCTTTTATGCTCATACGTGTAGAACTGGAGAAGCTATTAGAGGTTAAGTGCCGGTGTGCAAATGTACATTGGGTGGAAATATTTGTGATATTATTTATTTATTGTAACTTGATTATATTTTGTTCATATTTTGCTGTATTGCCACTCAATTAGTCTTCATCTAAAATGATTTAATGGTTCAATGGTGTAAGTTTAAAATTATTTATAGTAACAAAGCAAAATATTCATATTTATTCAAAATTTAAGATATTTTCAAGTATATTGTTATCCTATTATTTCATAATTATGCAAAAGTTTACTAATAGTAAGACTAACATACGTGCTATTCTATTATATGATTTATATAAGTGTTTTTGGAAATTTTATCAAAATAAAATCAATATTTTTTATGATGTCTTTTGATGTCTATGACAATTATCTTTATTCCTTCTTTCTAAGAATTTTTTAGAAAGTTTCAAAGATTAATTGTTGTTATTAATTTAAAATATATTTTTTTAATTCTCTATGAAATGATTTATTATAAGGTAATTATTTGTAAGTATAATAAAGTAATCGTTTGTAAGTTTAAACATACAATAATTTATAATGTCTATTTAAATTTTTTACACTTTTGTAATATTAATTCCAACTTGTTTTAAAATATTGTTATTTTTGATAGTATAAAAATTTATTATTGTTACCTCTTAATAAAAAATTCTGTGTTGTATAAGATTTAATATTTTTGTGTCTTTTATATCACTAAATTGCTACAAGCATTGAATAATTTAAGATACAAATACTACTTAACTCCATTGACTTTGATTGATGCAATTATCTCCCACTACATTAGCATATATTTTGACTTTGAGATAATTATACTTTATTATAGACACATGGTGCTTGAATATAAGCAATTTATTAAAAACACTGTTAAATTTATTTAGTTTTTAACCACGGTTTTATTAAAAATATGCTTATAATCACATAAATATATTTGATAAATAATTCATGGTAAAACTATCTACTTTAAATCTACTAGATATTAGATATATTTTTATTATTTAAATAAATAAATAAATATTTTTATATGATTATTTATTTATTTATTTAAATAATAGAAATAAAAGAAAACATGTTAAGTAAAAACATTCCCTTCAAGAAACATCAAAGATTTTTTTTATACCCAAATTGAATATAAAGTTATCTTTAAATGTGCCATGTGGCTATTATTATTATTTTTTAGATGTTTCTTTCTTCAATAAAACTATCATAGAAGCATCCTACTTTGTGAACTTTATCATCTTCAGAAAGCTATCACATAGTCTTATTGTAAACTCATTTATATATATATATATATATATATATACATACATATGTATATGTGTGTGTGTGTGTGTGTGTGGAGGCAAAACTAATGCCATTCATAATTTTGTGGATTTTATTCTTAATTTTAGAATATTTATATTGTAAAAGAATTGTCATTATTTATGTCTTTGATAATTTGAAAAATTAAAAAATTGCAATATAAGAGTTAAATATTTCTTTGTAGTACAATAGTCTAATCTAAAATTTTATGTGATATTTATTAAAGCAATGTTTTGTGAATCAACTTTATCTTGGTTTTTATTTTTTTAATTTAATCAGATTTAATATTAAACAAAATGCATGTTATTTTAAAAAAAAATTCTATGAATAGAGAACAAGATAAATTTCTGCATGATTAAATAACAATAAGATCTTATTGCAAATAATATTTTTATATTAACATACATCCAATAATTTTAAGAACTAGCTGTTATATATAGTGCATTAATATTGTACTTAATAGTCAATTTCATTTGAGAATTATAAGATACTAAAAAAAAAATTTGCTTAATTTTTGTAATCATCAAATGTCATTTTAAGTAAAAGACCTTATTATTAAATATGATAATAAAATTTTGAGGTTTGTAGAGAGTTGTATAATTATACTTTAGTATTTTTATAGCTATATAAAAATCACAAATTAAATTAAAATTCTTAATTAGAAGTACATCAAAGATATAATTTTGATCTTATTTTTATTTAATACTTATATTTTTTTAAATGTATTAAATATATTAACTTTCTATTATTCTTTATTTACTTTAAGAAGATAAGAAATAAGGAACATAAAATAAGAATTATGTCTTAAGCCTAAAATATCAAATTTTTACATATTAGAATATAAATCTTTGTATAATTTATTTATTTACAATATATAAAATATATGTTTTTAATTCAAGTAAAAATATAATATTCTAAAGAAATATATTGTTATATAAAAATATTTAAGAATAACAAAACAAGAATATTTTTTCTTAAAATTATTTTTGATAATTTTGTAACTAATTATGAAAGAACTCATTTGATATATGGATCAATTTACAATCTATTGTAAAATCTATGAATAATTTAGATAGTTTGAGCTGAACAAATTTTTATTAAATTTGTAAAGAATAAAAACATAATTATCAAAAATTGATTTTTTTAATTTTTAGTATCTAAATTTTGATATCAATTTAGATATGCTAAAATCTCTATTAAAATAAATTTAATATGAGAATAAAATTTAATATATATAAAAGATTAATATATATATATATTTTTTAAGTAGCATAAAATATCAAGAATATTTCTTTATTTTTGATAATTTCAAATGTATCCCTTATTTTATATATAAACAAGTATCATTGGCAATGATTTTTACATTGTACATTAATAGATATCACTGGCAATAATTCACATTATATATAAATGGATATCACTAGCAACTTTGCATTATGATTATGCTAATAGATACTATTGTTGCTACAATTCATGATTAAACATCACCTTCTATGCATATTATATGCTGTATCAATTCTAAGTCAATATTTTCTATAAATATAGAAATTTTGTACATTTATATTAGAATTATTGATTGATAATTCTATAGAATAGTGAGACATGCCTAATATGTTAGGATTAGAGAAAAAAATTGATTTAAGAAGTAGGAAGAACCAATGTTAGTAGATCATAAAGATAAATAATGGTATTGACACTTTACAACAAAGCTTGATAAATTTAGTTTTCACAATCCAATTATATATGGCATGTTTTAGCTTGTCAAGGAAATAAATCTTTAAAACAAAAAAAAAAAAATTCAATACACTCTTATATTACTTGAAAAGATGAAAAAGTCACTTAAAGATGGTAATACATTAAACTAGAATGGCTATTTTTAAAGACAAGAAGATCAAAAAGTCTTGAAACAAGAATATGAACTAAAAAGGCATTGATAAGAGTGAAGAAGGCTTTACTATTGCCTCTATATATATTCTCTAACTAGAAGCTACATAGCAATGTTCTATAAGACCTCGACCATTTGTTGATTTTATGAGATACATGTCTTAACTAGTAAGAAATGTTTTTTTATATGCATGCCATATTGTTAGCATGTATCACAAGCTACCAATACGTGCAATATGTGGCTAGCTTTATGAACAAATTTGTAACCTATCAATCAACTACAAAAATATATAAAGTCAAATATGCATGTATAAAGCTTCTAAGAAGTTTTATCATAAGATAATATCAAATCTACTTACATTTATTTTCTATCTAATACTTCTTATCTACGTAAATATCTTTATTTGTAATATAATCCTTCATTCTAGAGATGAGTTTCATGAAGAACAATCACTATCTTTCATAGATCCTGCTATTCTTCATTTTGATTTTGATATATGTCGTTGATAAAAAAAAAAAAAAAAAAAAAAAACCCTCATCTTTTTTTATTGCATTTACAAGATTTTTTGTTTGCTCTCATGTGCATTTATGTCATTGACATATATTTATTGTAATTATTACCTAGGTCATATGAATAGGTAGAAGTTGGTAAAAGTAGATTAATTTCATAATATCTTCTAGAGAAGCTTCCTAGAAGCTTCATAGATGCTGCTTTGACTTTACATGTATTTATTCTTGATTGGTAGGTTAGAAATTTGGTCAATAAGTTAACCACATGCTACATATATTGGTAGCTTGTAGAACAAGCTAACTATGTGGCATCCACATAGAAAACTTGCCTTAAAAAAGAAAGATATGTGTTGTGTAGAGTCAACATGTTTTTGGAGGTCCTATAGAATGTCGCCACGTAGCTCCTAGGTAGATAGTATATATAGAGGCAAGAGTGAAGCCTTCTTCACTCTTATCAATTCCTTTCTTATTTTTAGTCTAGTTTCAAGGATCTCTAGTTTTTTTGTCTTTTGGCAATAGCCATTCCAGTTTCTTTCTTAATATACATATCTAGTTATTTCTATTTTGTCATCTTTCTTTGAAAAAAGTTTCACTTGTTTATTTATTTTTATCAAGTTCCTGTCCTTGAGAGATTGACAAGTTTGTACTTATAATATCAGAGCTTTGTTTAATCTTGAATAAGAGTGGATTACCTCTTTTTCTTGATAAGACATAAGCGTATTAGAAGTTGCGGATTACCCTCTTCTAAACTGATATTGTTCTTATTATTTTCTTTGTTCTCAAGTCCCTTCTTCTACTTATTTTGAGTGATATTAGGTATTTTTTCTTTTCTAAATGTTATCATGGCAGAACTTCTTGAAATGAAGAGTGCAATGGCACAAATGTAAGAGAAATTGAGGGAATTAATGCTTGCAATGCATCAACTCAATTTACCACTACAAGGAGCAATAAGATTGGCAAGAAGTGAAGATATAGAAATAATTGGAGCTGCTTCAACATCTGTACCAAATCATGTCTCTTCTCCTATAGTACAACAACCTTTCAGTGTTAAAAAACCAAGAATTGTCCTACTCGAGAAGTTTGATGGCACCAAATCAAAATTTAGAGGATTTATCAATCAAATACAACTTGTGATTGAACTTCAACCCCAAAGCTATCCAACTCTAGGATGGTAAGTTAGATTCATTGGTATGCTTCTTTCAAGTTCAACATTATCATGGTTTTTATCTTTTCTTAAATAACAAGATCCAAGATTAGATAATCTAGAAGCTTTTTTGGTGGAATTTTGATCCATGTATGGAGGACATGATGCAATTCGTATTGCAACCAACAAGATCTATATTTTGTAACAAGGCAATCGATTAGTAAT